TTTTTGATTTATAGTAGAGATGAGGTCTCGCTGCCCAGGTGGGTCTCGAACCCGCGGGCTCAGGCAATTCACTCACCTCAGCCTCCCAAAGGCGCGGGATTACAGGCTGAGCCACCGAGCCCGGCTTACAATAAACTTTTTAAAAATTAGCCAGCCATGGAGGTGCATGCCTGTAGTTCCAGCTACTTGGAAGGTTGAGGCAGAAGGATGACCTGAGCCCAGGAGGCCGAGGCTGTGGTGGCCATGAGCATACTACTGCACTCCAGCCTGGGTGACAGGGTTAGACTCCAACTTAAAAATAAAAAATAGCCAAGGAGAAGGATGCCCATGCCCCCGACGAGGACAGAGAGATTGCAGAGGAGGACACAGCAGCGGCAGAAGCCCTTGCACTATAGAAGCCGTCACTGCGGGAAAACATGTGGAAGAGGCCAACTGGGGAGGGGACTTGTGCGACAAGACAGAGAGTGGCATGCTGAGCCTGTGGAGACATGTCTGCTCCCTCATCACATGGCCAATCGTCCCGCCAACAGTCACCATTGCAGGTTGACCAGTTGTTTACATGCATCTGTTTTGAGTGTCACTACCTGTGCCTAGCACTCTTTAAATACTTGGAGCATCACTCTATGTTGAAGGGCTGCCATTCGAGACACCAGAGCAAAAATCTGAGTGGGCCATTGTGCCCAAGTTCACAGCAAGTGCAGAAATGAAACAGCCTGGTTGCCAGTTCTCAGCACTCTCCAGAGCACCTGGTACACATGGTCACGCAAATGCTCCAAGTTCCCAAGACCTGACCCCAAGAGCACACAATCACAGAGCATTCCATTCAACTAAGTTTTTTACCTTGTTTTTGTGAGAGCCAAACATGGTACCCAATCTGGGAACGGTAACCACTCCACTTAAAGTGCCTAATGTGTTCCCAGAGCGTGGCTTAATCACTTCAGGGACAATCACCCAGGAAACTAATAACTAACCAATAGTTCAACAGCAAGTTCTAAGTTAAAGCAACTTTCAGGCTGGAATCAAAGTTGCCAGTGAACAAATAGTTAGTCATTAGCTGTGATATGATTTTAAAACACCTGGACCTTAATTTTTTACATTATTACTTTTTGATCTTTGGTTTGGGGGAAACTGGACAAAATAATTCTGAAAAATGCTTTTGTCATATTTGGGTTTTAAGTTCATGAGCTTCAGAAAAGAAGAACCATATATGGAATGTTTTTATTACCATTAAATGTCTGATTCTGATTAAAATATATTTTTAAAATATATTACCAAATTGGCTGACCACATGCAGAAGATTGAAACAGGACCCCTATCTATCCCCATGCACAAAGGTTAACTCCAAATGGATCAGAGACCTAAATGTAAAACCTCAAACCATAAGAACCTTAGAAAAGGAAGGAAATACTCTCATGGAAATCGGAACTGGCATCCAATTCCTGTACAAAACCCGAAACCCACAGGACTTAAGAGAGAAGATAGACAAATGGGACCTTATTAAACTGACAAGCTTCTGCAAAGCCAAAGAAACCATCAAGAGAGCAGGGAGACAGCCTACAGACTGGGAAAAAGTATTTGCCAACTCTAGGTCTGACAAAGGCTTAACATCCTGGATCTACAAGGAACTGAAACGTACTGAAAAGAAGAAAACAAACAACCCCATTATAAAATGGGCAAAAGACATGAACAGACACTTCACAAAAGAAGACATTCGAGCAGCCAACAAACACATGAAGAAATGCTCAACCTCACTAATCATCAGGGAGATGCAAATCAAAACCACACTGAGATACCACCTAACTCCAGTCAGAATGGCAATTATCAACAACTCAAAAAATAACAGCTGCTGGAGAGGGTGTGGTGAAAAGGGAACACTTCTACACTGTTGGTGGGAGTGTAAACTAGTGCAACCTCTGTGGAAAGCAGTGTGGCGATTCCTAAAAGCTCTAAAAATTGACCTTCCATATGACCCTGCAATCCCCCTACTGGGAATATACCCTGAAGAACACAAATCACTCTATAAAAAAGATACCTGCACACGTATGTTTATCGCAGCATTGTTCACAATAGCAAGAACCTGGAAACAACCATGCTGCCCATCAAAAGAGGACTGGATTAAAAAAATGTGGTACATATACACGATGGAATACTACGCAGCCATAAAAAAGAATAAAATCATGAATTTCGCTGCAACCTGGATGGAACTAGAGTCTATAATACTGAGTGACCTCTCACAAAAACAAAAATCCGAATATCACATGTTCTCACTCATATAATGGACCTTGAACATCCAATGCAATACTATGAGAAAATGACGGATGGTACTGGGAAACTATGGAGGGGAGGGGGATGGGATTAACAGTAGCAAATATCTGTCGGGGGATGGGAAAACACTTCTTATCTACAGGGTGCCTGAATGAAACGTCATTGTACACCTAACCCTTAACTGTACCCCACAAAACCATAATAAAAAATACTGATTAATGAAAGAAAAAAAAAAAAAAGACAGCAGGCAAAGTATCAAAGTAGGGTTTCCTTGAACTAGCCATGAGAAAAACTTTTAATATAATAAATAAGAATAGTATATACTTACAAAAAAAAACAAAACAAAAAAAATATATTACCATCACCTTTGAAAGCCCCTTGAGTAGGGTATTTCTCAGCACCATTATATTATCACCTTTCTCAGAGGCAATTGCTATCCTCAATATTGTGTTTATCATTCCACTGATTTTATTACATTTTACCACATTTATTTGTATCCTTAAATAATATACTGCTTATTTTCTAATGTTTTTGAATTTTATATACATGGAATTATATTGTATGTATTCTTTTGCTGTGTGCTTTTCTTGCTCAGTCTCATGCTGGTGATTTTGCTGTATATAGCTGTAATGCATTAATTTTTTATTTTTTGTTTTTTGAGTTGGAGTCCTACTCTGTCACCCAGGCGGTAGTGCAATGGCATTCTCATGGCCACTGCAGCCTCAACCTGCAGGGCTTAGGGAATACTTCAGCCTTCCAAGTAGCTGGAACTACAAGCGTGCGCCACCATGCCCGGCTAGTTTTATGATTTATTGTAGAGATGAGGGCTCGCCAAGTTGCCCAGGCTGGTCTCAAACCCTTGGGTTCAAGCAATCCTCTCACCTTGACCTTCCAAAGTGCTGGGATTATAGGCATGAACCACTGCGCCCAGCCTAATGTATTAATTTTTACTGCTATGAAGTATTTTATTTTATGAATAAACCACACATTATTCATTCTGTTATTGACAGATATTTTGACTACTTCATTTTTTGCTATTTACAAATAGTGCTGCTTTGATTATTTTTAACATATCTAGAATATACATTTAACTAATTGTTACATGTGTATAACAATACAATTGATTGTAACAAGGAATACAATTGATACTTTTGTTCATTGATTATATAACTAACCAATTTGCTAAACTCCTTATTAATTATGATTACTTATCAATAGATTATCTGAGGTTTTTTTAATTACTCTGTCCCGACTTCTAGTTTACATGCTAAGATAATCCAATACTTGACCATATTTGTTTTTAAAACACAAACTAGACTTTTAAAATTATTGTTTTGTACATGCAATGATTATTTTCTTTTACTTCCATGTTAACTAATTTCTTTGCTCTGCATTTTTTTCCTTCAATCTCAAATTTCCTTCTAGAGTCATTATCTAACCTCCTGAAATATAGTTCTTAGCCTTCCTTTAGCACAGATCTTTTGGTGGTAAACGCTTTGTTTTTAATGGTTAAGAATTTCTGTCTTTCAACCTTACTCTTGAAAAAATAGTTTTCCTGTGTACACAATCCTTTCAGGATATTCTTTTGCTACTTTTCTCTGCCTTTTATTATTGCACTTGAGGAGTATGTTATTGGTAAATTGTCATTCCTTTATAGATGATTTATCTTTTCTCTCAGGCTGTTTTTTTTTAAATTAAAAATTTTAGTAATTATGGTTTCACATATAGTTGCAAGAAATAATACAGAGATACCATTTACCCAATTTTCCCTAATGATAGCATCTTGTGAGACTATAACTGTATTCATTTGTGTGTCTGTGAATTTAGTTCTTTGTACTTTTATCATATGAGAAGGTCCCATTATAGTCAAGATACAGAATGGTTCCATCTCCAGAAGTTTCACTCATATTATTCTTTTACAATCAAACCCATCTCCCTTTCATCCCTAACCTTTGGCAAGAGTGATCATCTCTCCTCCAGCTCTATAATGTCATCACTACAATATTGTTATATAAATGAATGCTTTTGGTACTGGCTTTTTTTATTCAACATAAATCCCTAGAGATTCAACCAGGTTGTGTGTGTGAATTGTTCCTTCCTCTCTATTGCTGAGTACTCTTTCATAGTAAAGGTATACTGTGGTTTAACCATTCATCCATTCAAGGAAATTTTTTCCAGTTTTTAACTATTAGGAATAAAGCTGTTATGAATAATTTATTCAATGTGTAAATATAAGCTTTCATTTTTTAGTACGACTACTGGTTGTGTGTTAATGGCATGTTTAGCTTTTAGAAAACATCTTTATTGAGATATAATTGATGTCTTAGTCCATTTTGTTGCTATAGCAAAGTACTACAATCTGGATAATTTATAAAGAACAGAAACTTATTTTCCCACAGTTCTGGAAGCTGGGAAGTCCAAGATCAAGGTACTGGCAGGTTTGTCTGGTGAGGGCTGCATCTTCTGGAGAGGAAGAATGCTGTATCCTCACATGGCAGAAGATGGAAGGGCAAACTTGAAGAATGTGTGAAGCCTCTTTTATAAGAGTCTTAATCCAATTAGTGAAGGAGGAGCCCTCATACCCTAATTACCTCTTAAAGGCCCCATCTCTTAATACTATCACATTGGCAACACTTGAATTTTGGAGGGGACACTTTCAAACTGTAGTAATTCATATGCAAAAACCTGTACATATTCAATGTACACAAGTAGATGAGTTTGGACTTACACATGTTTAGTTTTTTGAGAAATAGCCTAACTATTTTCCAGTGTGGCTGTACCACTTGACATTCCTGCCAGCTATATATGGGTGATCCAGCTTCTCTGTTTCCATATTTCTGCTCTTTTTATTGTTCTTTTGTCCTGATGCTCCAAGATTCCTTCTTTTATCATTTCCTTTTTTGATTGAAGATTTGCTTTTAACTTTTTTTTTAAGAGTAAGACTTCTGGGGACAAACTCTTTTTGGGGTGTGTGTAGTTTACCCTATGCATTGAGAGAGACAGAGAGAGAGACAGAATGTCTTTATATCCCCTTCTTTTCTGAAAGACAGTTTTGTCAGATTGCTTTTTAAATTTTTTTCTTTAATTTACCGTTTATTTATTTTTAGTTTTTCAGGTCTTTAGTTATAAGAATATACTTATATTCTTTTTTAAATTTTTAATTTTAAAGATGTGGGGTGCAATTCAGGGTTAGGTATACAAATGTTTATTATGCAGGTACCCTTGTTGATGAGCTGTGCCATCCCACCCCCACCCCCTGGCAGTTTCCCACTGCTACTGCCAATCCCTTCCTAATAGTATTATAACTGTTCAACATCTGCCTATGAGTGAGAACATGTGGTACTCAGTTCTTTGTTTCTGTGTTAGATCGCTCAGTATTACACCCTCTAAGTCTATCCAAGTTGCTGCGAAGTTCATAATTTTGTCCTTTATGGCTGCGAAATATTCCATCATGTATCTTTACCACTTTTTTAATCTATTTCTCTTGGGTAGCAAAGTTGGATCCATGTTTTTGCTATTGTAAATAATGCTGCAGTAAACATGTGTGTGCAAATATCTTTTTCATGGAATGATCTGAGTTCCTCTGGGTGTATTCCCAGTAGGGGTATTGCGGATTTGTATAGGAGGTCGGTTTTTAGATCTTTCAGGAATCGCCAAACTGTTTTCCACAGAGGTTGTACTACTAGTTTACACTCCCACCAACAGTGTAAAAGTGCTCCCTTTTTCCCCACATCCTCTGCAGCATCTGATGTTTTTTGAGTTATTGATGGTGGCCATCCTGACTGGAGTTAAGTGGTACCTCAGTGTGGTTTTAATTTACATTTCTTTGATGACCAGTGAGGCTGAGCATTTTTTCATGTATCTGTTGACTGTTTATGTGTCTTCTTTTGAGAAGTGTCTATTTATATCTTTTGCCCACTTTATAAAGGGGCTGTTTGGTTTTTTTTTCTTTTCAGGACATTTGAGTTTCAGACTACTTTTAAACTTTTCTCTTAATTGGCATTCTACAATTTTATTACAGTGTGTCTAGGTGTGGCCATTTTTAAAATTTTTTTTTTTTTTTAGTTGGAGTCTCACTCCATCACCCAGGTTGGAGTGCAGTGGCACACTCACAGCCACACCAGTGCATTTTTGAAAATCTTACTTGGATTATTGTCTCTCAGTTCCAGAAAATATATCATTTTTGTCTTTAGATATTGCCTCTCCTCCATTCTCCATATTCTTGCCTTTAGGGTCTTCAATTTTATATATTTTATACCTTTTATTTTATCCTTCATGTCCTTTAACTTCTCTTTTGTATTTCCATTTCATCTCTCTGCTACATCCTGGATAATTACAACAGATCTGTTTTCCAGTTTACTAAGTCTTTCTGTAGCTGAATCTAATCTGTAGTTTACCCTATCCATTGAGTTCTTAATATTAATAATTATATTTTTCACTTCTAAAAGTTTTTTTTTCCAACCTGCCTGGTAATTTTATTATCTACAGTAAAGAACCAATAGAAAAGTGAATAACTGTCAGCTTACAGAGAAATCAAACTGAATCACAAATATACACGATTTTAGAAAGCTCACATGAACTGCAAGTTAAAACAGCAATGAAAATGTCTTTCATAACCATAAAGGAAAAAATATAGTAAACTTGATAATACCAAGTGATTAATTTGTGCCAGCATGTGGGACAATAACAAATTTTTACACATTGTTATGGGTGTGTTAATTGGTTACAACTATTATATTTGGAGAGTAGTATGACAGTACCTATTTCAAGATACAGATACCCTTGTACTCAGCAATTTCTCTTCTAGTTTTCAAGGTTAGAGAAAAATCTCACACATGTGCTACAAGGAGCACATTTAAAGGAGACATTAATTGCAGTATTATTCGTAAGAGTGAGAAAAATGGGAATAAACTAATTGTCTCTCAGTGGGAAAATAGATAATTAAATCAGGTTTATTTATGCACCTCAATAATTGAACTAGTACCAACATAGATACCCAAAGTATAGGGTTGAAAGAAAAAGTTGCCAAAGAATATAAACGTATATTACCATAATGTAAATATTGAAAACACACAAAAGTTATGTATCTTTATGGATGTACAAAAGTATAAAACATACAGCTTTAGCTGAATGCATAATAGAAACAAAAGCACATCAAGTAGAATATTGATACCTTTTTAATCTAGATATGGTGTGTGGTGGTTATTATATTTAATCTAAGTATAGTATATAGTGGCAATTATATTCCATTCTGTACTTTTTATAGTTAAATATGAAAATAAACTTTTAAAGATTTAGGCTCTACTTTTTCCTGGATTTATCACTTTACTTGTGCTGAAAATAAAGAGGTTTTATTTAGAAAATTCCTCAGTTAATACTTATACTTAGTGTAATTTATTGAGGATTCCATGTTTGTCTGAAGTCTTTGGTTCCTTAAAAATAGGATGCTGCTCCAACGGAGTCTTTACTGAACTGGCAAGACTATGAGGGTCGAACACCTCTTCACTTCGCAGTTGCTGATGGGAATCTGACAGTGGTTGATGTCTTGACCTCATATGAAAGCTGCAATATAACATCTTATGATAACTTATTTCGAACTCCACTTCACTGGGCAGCTTTACTAGGTATGTGAATCAAAGGATCAACAGTAGAAGGAACTGCGTGGGTACAGGAAAATTTATATGCCTTCTCTTCCCCTGTTAGCGTCCACTTCCTATTTAATCATTTTAATTTCTAACTGATATATTTTATTATTTTATAAACTAAATTAAATTATAGTAATATAAATTTAGTTGCTGTTAAATACTAGCCTTAATTTCAACATCATGTCTTTTTTTTTTTTTTTGAGTTGGAATCTCACTCCGTCCCCCAGGCTAGAGTGCAGTAGCACATTCACAGCTACCCCAGCTTCAACCTGCTGGGCTCCAGCAATCCTTTTGCCTCAGCCTTCCAAGTAGCCAAAACCATAGGCGCGCACTACCATATCCGGCTAATTTTTTGATTTATTGTAGAGACGAGGTCTCGCCATGTTATCCGAGCTGGTCTCGAACCCATGGCTCAGGCAATCCACTCACGTTGGCCTCCCAAAGTGCTGGAATTACGGCCTGAGCCACTGAGTCTGGCTAGCATCATGTCTTAACTTGTCATTTTTGTTATAAAAGTAATATGCATTCATTGACATGTAAATGTAACATAATCCTCTTTTTATACTTAATGCCTGTATTTTTGAGAAAGTCATTAATTTTATGTTTGTGCTAATACTATGATATTTGGCCTTTTTCTTTATATTATCCCACTATGCCTTTAACTAACCTTTTTGAAGGTTACTTTTTTATAGTTGAAAGAGAGAGAGTTGGATTTTTTTTTTATTTAGGGCAAATCTCAGAGTCTTTCTCTTTTAGTGAAGGAGTTTTACCCATTAATAATCTTTATTATATGATAAATAGTTTGGGCCCTTTTTTTGCTATTCTGCTCTCTTATATTTGTATTTTCAGGTTTTTTTCTTAGTTTTGATTTTTGTTGGGTTTTTTTTTTACTATTTCCTTTGCTTTCTGCCTTTTGGTATATAGATCAGGCTTTTTATTTTGTTTGAATTGCATAATGTTTTTAGGAAGGCTTAAAAGTAGTTATTTTAAAATATGATCATAAACTATTTTAAACCTGAGTCGGCAAGAGGAAAACTGTATCTATTGATTCCTACCTGTTTAAGACAAAGAATTTAGCAACTACTCATCAATATTTTAGTGCTTGTTGATATAATCTGATATACCCCTATTATTATCATTTTGATCTTAATTTTAAAATTATACATTGTCTCTTTTGAAAATGATTTCTGTGTTTGCATTCACCTTGATAATCAGATTTATCATTATTTAGATTTCATTTAACTGTGTGATTTTATCCCTTTTTCCTTTTCCTCTGAACTCTGGACATACTTGGCAAATTTGTCTTCATATCACTAAATGTCTTTTTGTTCCATATATTCTGCTTTCTTTCTGCCTCTTATATGGTATATTTTAGATTGTATTTTTGTTTCCTTCTCTTACCCATTTTTCTTTGTATTTCGTCGTACTTTTCTTTCATTTTCTTACATTATCTTTTTATTTCAGACTGTTTTCTTCTTAGAATATTCTGTTTCTGTTTCATAGAAGTCATCTCTTTTTGCAGTAAGTTGAGGATGACAATTTCCTGAAATTTTCCTCTGGATCCTTCTCTAGATCATTTTCAGAGGTATGCTCTTTATCTTTCTGGTAGTGTTCCTTTTTCCCTGTCCTATAGTATGTTTTCATGTAATCTTTACTGAATTTTTCTCTTTATTTCTCAAACAAGATGAAATGCATTTAGATTAGCTATGTGGCATAGATTGTCTTCAATCCTACATTTATGTTGTGGAGAACTCAATCTTAAGCTATATCTGAGAGCAAACAGATGAGCACAACTCCCAGTCAAATAAATTACTTTTTTCTGCCTGGCTGTCATGCAGTGTATCCTTGTTCTTCATTGCCTGGTTCCACAATTCACTGAAGCAATAGAGTGTATGAAATTCAGGTTTTCTATGTATACTGTTACCAGGTGTGTTTATTCTTTGATCTTTTCTACAGTTCTGCACTTGTTCTCATCCTCCAAAATGCACTGCAGAGTATTGTACTCACCATTACCTCATCACAACTGCCCACTCATTTTCGGGGATTTGAAATTACTGCCCTGGATGTTAGAAGATTGGGGCAGGGAGATTAGAGGGAATGGATAGGAGGCCTCCGACGGAAGAGGCTGTGTTATAGTTTGTCTACCTGAACAGTAGAAGAGAATAGCTGTGCAGGTCTGGTTGGTTGGGCAATGGGACCATGAAACTAGGGTGAGTGAAAGCTAAGAAGGCCTCTTCTAAAGCACCTTCCCTCCTTTGTTACAGGCAGTTTTAGAAAGTGAAGCCAGGGAACCAGTGAGGTGATACCTAATGTGGATTCTCTCCGTCTGACAATAATTAATGTCATTTTCTTCCTGATTGAACCATTAAGTTTTTAGTGTTGTAAGTTTTCTCCTTTTTTCTACCTGATAGTATTATGTTAGTGAGACGCTAGAAGGCATTGCTTTGGAGGCTCCTATTCAGAAACCTTTTTGAATGATGTGTTATGTGTTGGTGGTTTTTCTTACCTCTTTCAATAGATTTTTTTTTTTTTTTTGAGCTGGAATCTCACTCTTTGTCGCCCAGGCTGGAATACAGTGGCATGCTCATGGCCACCACAACCATGACCTCCTGGGCTTAGGCGATCCTTCCGCCTCAGCCTTCCAAGTAGCTGGAACTACAGATGCACGCCACCACACCCAGCTAGTTTTTGTGATTTATTGTAGAGACAAGGTCTCACCAAGTTGCCCAGGCTGGTCTTGAACCCCCAAGCTCAGGCAATCCTCTTGCTTCAGCCTCCCAAAGTTCTGGGATTACGAGCTGAGCCACTACACCTAGCCAACCTCTCTCAATAGATTATAAATTAATATCCTTTGTATATGATAATTACAATTTTGTGTCTTTTCGTAGGCCATGCACAAATTGTCCACCTCCTTTTAGAAAGAAATAAGTCTGGAACTATCCCATCTGATAGCCAAGGAGCCACACCCTTACACTATGCAGCTCAGAGTAACTTTGCCGTAAGTAAAACAATTCCCCTTGTTCTTAATTAATTTTTTATTTTTATATAATTGTAGATTCACACACAGTTGTAAGAAATAATACAATAATAATCCACATATCCTTTGTGCACTATACCCTAATGGTAATATCTAGTACAGTGTCATAAGTAGAAAATTCATACAGCCCACTAACCTTATTCAAATTTCACCAGTTTTACATACTCTCATTTGTCTATGTTTGTGTAGCAATTATCTTTTAACAATTGTTCATGCTGTTAACTCTGATGGTGATGCAACTGCTAGTCTGATTTTTTGTAAGGTTGTTATAGCTTTTATTGTACTATTCAGTATAACATTTTACTTTACTATAATAGTACTTCATCTTTTTGTTACTTTTATAACACTATGGACATCTTAGTGTTCAGCAATCTGTAATTGTTCTGAAAGCAATGTGCACTAAGGATATTTTAGTGGTCAGCAATCTGTATTATCCTGAAAGCAGACTTTGAAACTAGAAGAACCCTGGCTAGAATTCTGGCTTTGCAGTTTGCTAAGCTGTATGACCTTACACAAGTTTCTTAACTCTCTGAGTCTTACTTTCTTCATATGTAAAATGAGGATAATTATACATTTTATTTCAGGATTATTATAAAGATTAGAGAAAATTTATGACAAGTGCCTACTGTATACCTTGGCATAGAGCAGTTACTCAAGACATAGATTGTATTTTTAGAATACATAATAGAATGTACTAGTGATAATTATATATATTATACATCTGAGAACACAAAAATGAATGATTCCAAAAATACTGAGTATTATTGATAGTGCTTCCTTTATACTTTTTACAGTTTACAAAGTGCTCTCTCATCCACTGTGTCCTCAATCTACCCAGAAACATAACAGTGTCTTGGCTACTTCAGCCTCCTGAGTATGAATGGCTATCAAGAACCAGTGATTTATCAAAAGGGAATACATTAAAGCAGATTTTGCCGCCTTCTGTCTGAGTATATATAGTTTTATTAAATGATAATAATACTATCACCAACATAGTACAATTTCACCTTCCTGACCTCTCCAAATGCTCTATTAAATACTCAGATGGCTAAAATAGCTTATCTTCTTACTCTCTGGTATCCAGAACAACTATACCTATAGTCCTTCCCCTTCTTGGAATTCCTAAAAATGTGTTCAATTTACCACATAAAGTTTTTTTTTGTTTGTTTTTTTGTGGATTTTTTTTTTAGTCAGAGTCTTACTCTATCACCCAGGCTGGAGTGCAGTGGCACACTCACGGCCACCCCAGCATCAACCCGCTGGGCTCAGGCAGTCCTTCCACTTCAGCCTTCCAAGTAGCCAGAACTATAGGCATGTGCTACCATGCCTGGCTAGTTTTTTTGATATGTGGTAGAGATGAGGTCTCACCAAGTTGCCCAGGCTGGTCTCAAACCCCTAACCCCTGGGCTCAGGCAATTCTTTCACCTCAGCCTCCCAAAGTGGTGGGATTACAGGCTTGAGCCACTGCTCCCAGCCCTAAAGTTTTGTTTCATTTTGGTTTGGTTTTGGGTTTTTGTTTGTTTTTTAGATAGGGTGTGACTCTGTCACCCAGGCTGGAGTGCAGTGTCATGATCACCATATTTGCTTTGGATAATCTGCCAGTTCCAGAGTTGATTTTTTAATAATTATTCAAATTTTCTAAGCTCAGTTTCGAGCCCCTTGATCTCCTTGCCCTCAAAAAATTGCAACTATCTTCTTGAAACACACACATATACACACAAAACCCTGAAAACATTCATCATTAAGAAAAAACATACTGAATAGGCTGGGCATGGTGGCTCACGCCTATAATCCCAGCACTTTGGGAGACTGAGACAAGAGGATTACTTGAGCCCAGGAGTTCAAGGTCAGCCAGGGCAACATGGCAAGATGTCATCTCTACAATAAATCAAAAAATCAGCTGGGCGTGGTAGCAGGCACCTGTAGTCCCAGCTACTTGGAAGGCTGAAGTAGAAGGATCACTTGAGCCCAGCAGGTCGAGGCTGTGGTAGCTGTGATCATGCGACTGCACTCCAGCCTGGGCAACTAGACTCTGACTCAAAAAAAAAGAAAGAGAGAAAAAAAAAAACATACATACTTAACAAAGAAATGTTTGCAAACTAGTTGCAAACCCCCAGAAATCACCAACTTTTAAGATATTTCTTCAGATGTACAAAGCCCCACAAAAACCCAGCATTTATTTATAAAAACTGTGCTTTTATTCTTACATATTTAAACTCCAGTCACCTTCAAAGTACTCTCCATGTGATGCAATACACCTATTGAGAAGCTTTTTCCACTGCTCAAAACAGTTTTTGAACTCATCAGTTGTGATGCCTTTTAGTGTTTCTGCCATTTTTTGTTTCACTTCTTCCACATCATCAAAAATGTTTCCCTTTGAGGACATTTTTCATCTGGGGAAACAAACAAAAAAGTTGCTGGGGCAAGATCAGGTGAGTAGGGAGGGAGGGTGGAGCACAGGGGTCATGTTGACTTTGGTTAAAAACTGCTGAACACTTGGCATAGTGTGGACAGGTGCACGTGTAAATCACCCATCATGAAAGGAGCAAATACACTGAAAGAATCACCAAAAAAATTCACTGAAGCCGAACACAGCCTCTTACAACAATGCTATATATACTGATGCCAATGGGTTTCTAGAACACTTACCTAGCGGGAGATGCCTGTATTGGGAGGGACCTGTCCTCCAAAAAATGATTCTGGATTTTTGGGAGTTTTTTGGTCCCCTCTCATACTTAATGAGCATATACATTAGACCTTAGGGGCACTAAGCTATTATACTTCAGTAACTCAACAAATAGTTTTAAGACTAGAAAGCAATGTATGTTGCATTTGAAAGAGTGTTGTGATTTAACCCTGAGTTCTATTCCTTTATCTGCCAACATTATTTATATGACCTTGAACCTTCATCTGTAAAATGAAGGACTAAGTAAGATGAGCCCTTGAATAATTCTTTCTGTAAAATACTAAGAGTCACCATTCTGAACATTTTTTATCAGCTCACAGCCTCCGGAAATTTTTATGTAAAATTATCTTACCTGCATTCAGGCAAAAATGTCTATGATCTTCCTAAAAGTTTATATGACTCTGAGTTCTGAAGAAAGAGGCCATTTAGAATACTAGAATTAAAATTTTCGAGGACTAATCAAATTGTCAAGGGTCCTATTTTTTCATGATTCCACGGAAGAATCATACTTGCTGAATAAATATTTGTTTAAAGGAGTTGAACACTACATTTGTTGATAGCCATCAATCAGTATTAAATAAATGCATTAACTATTTGTAAAAATGTAGTAACAGAACACACAGTGAGAGAACATATTTACTACATCTGTGGAGGTATGCCTGAACATAGGGGTCTCTGCATGAAAAAATGTCCAAGAAAACTTATATTTTCATTTTTGTCACTAAAAAATAAACATTGAATACTTCTAAGTCTTTTAACTGTCACTTCTTCTGAATATCAGTGATCTATAAAATTTCCAAGTTTGATTGAGAATAATCATTTTTAATTATTGAAAGTGTTAAAAGGTGGAGTTAGGTTATATTTTTGAAGTGTTATGGAAACTAAAACCTATATATAAGGACAGAGGATTTTAATTTTCAATGGAAATTGTATTTTTGTCATTCATAAAAAGAATTTCATTTGATTCAAAAGTAGGGGGAAAATATTTTGCTTCTTAGTGGAAGTCATCTATAAAAGTGTTTTTGTTACCATAGAAAATGTTACTATTCAGTCTCAATTTTTTAAATCAAGTTTTCTTACAGGAAACAGTTAAAGTGTTCTTAAAACATCCTTCAGTGAAAGATGATTCAGACCTGGAAGGAAGAACATCTTTTATGTGGGCAGCTGGGAAAGGCAGTGATGATGTCCTTAGGACTATGCTGAGCTTAAAATCTGACATTGATATTAACATGGCAGACAAATACGGAGGTACAGGTAAGAACTGGTAGATATTCTATTTCTTTCATTCAGGTTCCAAAGTGTAGATGCTATAAAATTTATAAAATAGTAACTTTATACCATTGTTTCTAATTTAATATTGTTTGGTTTTGATCTCCAGTTTTTAAGTTTGGGTTTGCCAGGATATCACTCTAAAGGCTTTATTTCTTCCAAGTATTATGGTTAAAATTAGCATATAAGCCAAGCTCGGTGGCTCAGCCTGTAATCCCGTGCTTTGAGAGGCTGAGGTGAGTGGATTGCTTGAGCCCGCGGTTTCAAGACCCACCTGGGCAACTTGGCGAGACCTCATCTCTACAATAAATCAAAAACTTAACTGGGCATGGTAGCTCACGCCTGTAGTTCCAGCTACTTGGAAGGCTGAGGCGAAGGATCGCCGGAGCCCAGCAGGTCGAGGCTGCGGTGGCCGGGAGCGTGCCACTGCACTCCAGTCTGGGTGACAGAGTGAGATTCCAACTCAAAAAAATAAAATAAAAATTAGCATATGTTTCTACCAGGTGAATGGTGATATCTATTTTTAAATGCCAGTTGTTCCTTAACCACAATTATGGGGACTCCTCTTATCATTTATCTTTGTGTAAAAATAAATAAATCTGTACCTTAAAATGATGCATATTTAGTAGTTATTAATTATATTTTCAAAAATTTAGAATTACATTTTAAGGAATGCTCACATCTTAGTGTGTGCTCACCAGTCTCATTTACTTGCTCTTTTTTCAGATTTGAATAGTGTTACCACTCCTGAATCTCCCATTTTTAGAGATAACCTCCCATGACTCTAGAAGTTTCAAAACTTCAAGTCAGCCTTGCATGAAAAGTTCTTATCAGATGCTTCTTTTGATCTCTTTCTCTAATAAAAGAAGACTTTACCTTTGTGTTAGTTAATAAGAAGTACAGTTTTTAGCCGTCAATGTCACTTCGGAGGTCTCATCCTTGTGTACTATATCCTAATGCAAGTCAGAAAAAGAAGGAAAAAAATCACACACCAGCACAATAACACAGAACAGAATTAAAAACTCAGTGATAAGCTACTCAATGTTATGAGATTTTTTTATTTGTAGAAACATACTAGAATCATTTGCACCAACCCATTATCCTGAATAAGATCTTTTTTGGCCACCAAAACTGATTAATGAGATACTGGGAGGAGAGAAAGGAGGGGAGTTGCTATACTTAACAGTCTTCCTCTCTGTACTGATACCACCATGCCCTCCAAATTATTATTTTTTTCTCCCCTAACCTTCCCCCCCAACCTGTCTTTCTACCTGCCAACTTCCAAATGCTTCCAAATTATTTAGAATTTTTAGGTAATTCAATATTATGATAAAGGTTTTAACCTTCTTTCTTTCTTTTTTTTTTTTTTTTTTTTGAGTTGGAGTCTCACTCCATTGCCCAGGCTGGAGTGCAATAGCATGCTCATGGCTACCCCAGTGTTGACCTGCTGATCTCAGGCAATCCTTCCACCTCAGCCTTCCAAGTAGCTGGAACTATAGGCATGCACCACCATGCCCAGCTAATTTTTTTATTTACTATAGAGATGAGGTTTCGCCAAGTTGTCCAGGCTGTTCTCGAACCCGTGGGCTCAGGCAATCCCCTCACCTCAGCCTCCCAAAGTGCTGGGCTTACAGGCTTGAGCCACTGTGCCCGGCCAGCTTTAACTTTCAAAAGTATTTTTTAATCACAGCCTTACAGCAGATCTTGTTCCCTAAAGGGTATAGTGCAGACACATAGGACATTGACTTTATAAATGATTTGAACATTTTTGTCAGATTTCCATTAATATGCACTCTTCTGCTTTATCACTTGCCTTGATTTTAGTTTAACTTTTTCATGTATTTTAATAAGGTATGGGCAAGGATACGTGCATCCTTTTGACCAAAAGTAAGTTTCTTATATGCACCCTGGTTGGAGTTCAGACATAAATTGTTCTTACATTCATTAATTCCCTGGGTTCTTTCTCTTTTGGGGATTTTTATGATATATCAGAGATGCCTTCCTAACATTTCCATCTATGAAGATGAGTTTCTCTCTATCATCCTTATACAGGTTTGTTTATTTTTTCCTTCCAAAAAAGAGGTCTTACCAATAACAATGTATGAACATTATTTGGTTCCTGATTCAAATAAACAAACTATTAAAAAATTATAAAGCCATCAGGAAAATGTGAACACTATCTGGATATTACAGAATTTCTGTTAATGTTTTTTAGGTATGATCATGACATTATGGTTATACCAATTACTAAGCTATCGTCTCTCAACTTCAAGTTTATCCTTTCTTTGTGATGCTATGCCTGGGGCTCTGCAAATCACATTTCCTTTGCCAGCACTTGTCCTTTTAGAATCTGCCAGTAGGGAGCAGTAGAGGAAGATTGGAAGCCTGGAGGAGAGCAAGGGATTACATCTTCCTGTTTGCTTCCTATTCTTGTTTTTGTTTCCTGCTGTGGTCAGCATCATCCTAGTAATGCTTCCTCAACACGGCAGTGATTGTTTATTTCAGTGACAATAACTAATTTCACTCTGAAGTTTTTCCAACATTCACAGTATCAACCTCAGAGCACCCTTCCCAGAGATACCAACACCAGCCAAGCAGAGCTCTTCCTCAAAGGTCAGAGTTTTCATTCTGCAGGGCTTATTTAAGCTTTTAATAATTTCATCCTCTTCTTTTTGTTCACCCAGTTCCAGGATTAGTAGCTACTTCTTGCATTTGCTTCCTCTGTGATACCTTCATGTTCTCTTTTTGCCTTTGCATTTCTTCAATACATAGCCAACAGTTCATATTGAATTCTGTTATATTTTGTGTTGTTTCTGTCTCCAGACTGGACCCTGTGGTGCATTTAAAAAAAGAATCCTTGTCTTCCAGACATACTAAAATAATTACAGGTGAAATGATATGACTCTAGAATTCTTTCCAAAACAATCAGAAGTGGAGGACTGGATGGTAATTAGATGAAACAAGATTAGCCATGTATTGATCATTGTTACAGCTGGGTAGTAACTGGGGGTGCCAAAAAGAGTATACACATTTTAAGAGATGTTATCTATGTATTACTTTTCAAAGTTGAATTGAATTACAGTAGCAATGTGTAGTATGATGTTTGCTCAAAAATGTCATTAATCAAGTGAATGTTAGCCTCACCATGTGATAGACAGGACTCAAAAAAAATGGCAGAAGCACAGTTGTCATTAGAGGAGCACAAGACCATTTTGAAGTAGTATTTGAAATTTGAGAACGTTGTGGAAGTACAATGACAATGTAGGTGTTAGTATGCTACAGAAACTTCAAAATGCCTGACAGTTGCACACATTCATGATAAGCTGGAGATACATTGTACTGTGTGTGATGTACACAAGGGAAGATCCGGGAGGCCTAGCGCAGCACCAAGTCCTGTAGTAGTTCACTATAATCTGAAGTGTCTGGACACTGATGGTAACCACTCTGAGCACCTCTTGTAATTGTAGAAGTCAAACATGACTGATATTTATCTTTTGTTATCAGTGTATATTGAGTATTACAATTTTAATACAATTTTTTCCTTTCTTAAAATATGTATACTTTTTTGGCACCCTCTGTATATTGAGTTCACTGGACTTTTGTCTCTACTTTTGAATATGTTTGAAGTTTTATATAATATAAAGTTAATATTTTTAAAAAATTTAAAGTTCCTGTATAAACTTGCAACACTTTTACAAAGGAGCAACAATAGGTAAGTCAAAGACTATTTTTAAATAAAGTAAATTCAAATAGTCAGAAGCAGGGAATTTTCTTTTTCTTTTTTTCTTTTTCTTTTTTTCTTTTTTTTTGAGTCGAAGTCTCACTCTATTGCCCAGACTGGAGTGCAGTGGCACACTCACAGCCACTGCAGCCTTGGCCTGCTGGGCTCAGGTGATCCTTCTGCCTCAGCCTTCCAAGTAGGTGGAACTACAGGCACATGCTACCACGCCCAGCTAGGAATTTTCTTTAAAAATAATATTTTACTTATTGAAATTTTGTCTTTTTAAAAAAACTTGGCATTGATACTATTTGTCAATAGAATATCTATTTTATACTTGATGCCACATCACAGAGTTGTGCATTTCAGAATTAGAAGTTACCTTAAAATTAAATCTAGCCCAAGGCTATGTTCTTCAGAATGACAGATTTCCACAGAGGCACCTGAAGTCATGCTGAGAGAATAGACAGTCAAGTGCACAATTTTTACCCTGGTTTAGTTAGAGGAGCCACTTAACTCTTATTTGTTTTACATGTTGAGAATTTTATAAAATTTCATTTGGAGAAGGAAAGGGTTCTTATGCTCTTAAGATGTGAAAATCACTGAATTATCACAGTTATTATATTTTCATCTGCCTTATAGCATTCTCACCAATGGTCTTTCATCCTCTGGTTGAATAGCTCCAATATAGCAAACCCACTAACTTCCCTCTTCCCCTAACTCTATCAGAATGTTCTTGCCTATATTGAGCCAAAATTTGTCAAACTGAATGTTCCACTCTGTGTTCTCTTCCACATGATGGCACTTCAGATATATGAAGTCGCTCATGCTCATTTGAATCTTGGCCAGTTCAAACTTACATTCAGCCATTTAGGTCAGTGGTTCTCAAACTCAGGAATACATAAGAATTACTAGAGGAGTTTGTTTAAATGCAGATTCCCAGGCTATACGGCCAGCGATCCTGTTTTAAATCCTGTAGCGAGTCCTATTGACTCTGCCTCCAAAACATATTCCAAATATGTTTTATTTCTCTCCATCTCCACTCCTACTACCTTAGTCAAACTACCATCATTTTTCAGTCCACTGCAATAGTGTTAACTGGTATCCCTGATTATGTTCTTCTAACTTACTGCAATACTTTCTCCTTAGAATACCTAGATTGATCTTTAAAGCATAATTTTAGGCTGAGGCGGAAGGATCGCCGGAGCCCAACGGGTCGAGGCTGCGGTGGCCGCGAGAGGCCATTACACTCCAGTCTGGGTGACAGAGTGAGACTCCAACTCAAAAAAAAAAAGCATAAAGATAATATCACTTCCTTATTTAAAGGCCTTCAGGGTCTTCTATCACTCTGACCAATATGACCATTTATTGATCTGGCCTTTTTCACCTTTCTAACTTAGCTCATGCTCACTTTGCGACAACTACCCTCGCCTTACTTAAACACACAAAGGCATTCCTGTCCTGTACTAACTGTTATTTGTGGCCAAAGTACTCTTTTTTTTTTTTTTTACTGGCTCATATCTCAATTTAAATATCAGTTCCTGTGTAAAGCTTTCCCGAACTACCAATCAAAGTAGTCCCTCAGGCCAGGCGTGGTGTCTCAGCCTATAATCCCAACACTTTGGGAGGCCAAGGCAAGAGGAGTGCCTGAGCCCAGGAGTGCAAGACCAGCCTGGGCAACTTGGTGAGGCCTCGTCTCTACAATAAATCAAAAACTAAGCCGAGCTATGGTAGTGCATGCCTGTGGTTCCAGCTACTTGGAAGGCTGAGGTGACAGAGTGAGACTCTAACTCAAAAAAAAAACCAAAAAACAAAGTAGTCTCTCAGCTACTCTACATATCAAAATACCTTTGATTTAATTGTATCATTCATCACTATCTAATACTTTATTGATTGTGGAGAATATTTTTTGTTTTGTTTTGCTTTGCTTTGCTACCCCTACTATAATGTAACCTTATCTATTTTGTTCCCTGCTAAATTCCCAGCATCATAATAGGAACTAGCCCCCAAATCTGCATTTTTATAGGCATCCCAGGTTGCTCCATGGACCACCTTTTATGAAAGAGACAGTGTTCTAGACATTGTAGAGCCAAATGCTTAGAACTGTTCCAGGCCTCCAAAGTGTTATCATGGTTAATTCAGATCTAAAGAGTTAATGGCATAAGTCAAGCACTACAGTGGAGTATCATAGGCAGGGGTCAGCATAACATGAAACGCATGCAGTCAAAATTAGTCTTTAAAACCCCTTATGAAAGCACCAGAGAGGAGACTGAATTCCATCTCTCAGTTTTTTTCTCCAATGTTACAATGAATTGCTCTTTCTTAAATTAAGCCCCGAGGAAGTACCAGGCTTGTATATGAAGCCATGTTGGATGAAAAATGCACTCAGTCCAGCAAGATGTGCGTGCTTTCAGTACCACGGGGGTACACAGACCAACCAAAGAATAGCACCTGTAACCAAGGGAAGGAAGAGTGAAAGGAAGAGTAGATTGATATCTCCAGTCACATGATCCCTTAGGGACGTATGTTTATTGAGTGGGTTGTTGGGCAGAATTGCCTGCATCATTTAAATCATTTCTCTTTGTCACTGTTTGCTCTTTGAAAAAGAAAATAAACTAATAACTAAGAAGAGGATGGACAAGGAAAAAGACAGAAGAGAAAGGCAGAAGGAAGGGGAGAAATGTAATATGTATGAATAAGAAGGAAGGTAGAAATCTATAAAAGTGAAAAATAAGCTAGAGAATCCTTAAGACTAAGATTGCATCTTGCCAATATGATGGAGAAATCAAGAGAGGAGAAGATACACCATTAGAATAATAAAATGGTGAAGTTGCTATTAAAGAGTTCATCACTTTCTTTTCCTTCCCTTTTAGCCCTACATGCCGCTGCCCTTTCTGGTCATGTCAGCACCGTGAAGTTATTATTAGAAAATAATGCTCAAGTAGATGCTACTGATGTCATGAAACACACTCCACTTTTCCGAGCCTGTGAGATGGGACACAAAGATGTGATTCAGACACTCATTAAAGGTTAGTTGATAAGAATACTCCTAATCAGTCATTCTTTTTTTTGAATTAGGGTCTCACTCTGTCACCCAGGTTGGAGTGTAGCAGCACGATCACAGCCTACTGCAGCCTCAACCTCCTGGACTCAGGTGATTCTTTCTCCTCAGTCTCCTGAGTAGGTGGAACTACAGGCACATGCCACCTCTCAGTTAATTCTTTTGATTTTTGTAGGGACGACGTCTCACTATGTTGTCCAGGCTAGTCTTGAACTCCTGGCCTCAAGCGATCCTCCTGCCTCTGCCTCCCAACGTGCTGGGATTACAGGCATGAGCCATTGTACCCAGCCTAATTCGTCATTCTTAAAAGGCAGGCCTTCACACATGCTCTGTTTGAAATAAAACTTTGCCTAAGAGAGAGCTCAAGTAGCAGGATGAAGGAAGAATGCCCAACCCAGCATCAGGAACCTTGAGTTCTACTCCTAGCTCCACACGTTAGGAGTTGCTGGGTTTTGGAAAAGTCACTTCACCTTCCTGATCTTCAGTTTCATTTTATGTAAAGGAAGAATGGATTCTACCCTGACTAATTTACAGGCTTATTGTAAAAATCTGAAGTAGACATTTACATTTTACATTTGCATAAGAGTACGGCATTTAAGGAACTATTGTTATGCTATCCCAGTTAGACATTTTCATTATATTTTTGCTTTTCCAGGTGGAGCGAGGGTAGACCTAGTTGATCAAGATGGACATTCTCTTCTACATTGGGCAGCGCTGGGAGGAAATGCCGATGTTTGCCAGATATTAATAGAAAATAAGATCAATCCAAATGTGCAGGATTACGCGGGAAGAACCCCTTTGCAGTGTGCTGCATATGGAGGATATATCAACTGCATGGCCGTGCTCATGGAAAATAATGCAGACCCTAACATTCAAGATAAAGAGGTAGAAACTCTGGGTCTTCTCTGTTAAGTTTGCTTCAGTGTTTAGAGTATTTCTACTTTCTTGTGAACTCATGCTTTACCAAATGAAGAGATTACTCTCAAATCCATCTGTTAATTATGATTTTCATTTGTTCATATTCTCTTCCAGTCCTTGTCTATATCTATATATAATTTAACAAAGTTATACTATAGACTGGGAAAAGTTTTATTTTTATGACATTACATGGCACATATATGTATGCATATAAATATATTATATGATTTTAAAGACCACATTTTGTTAAAATTATCACCATCTCATTTGATATATAATCTTTTTCTATAGTAATGAATGCTTAAAATCCAAAGTTCTAAGAGTTTTATGTTTTTAATAGCCCATTAAATCCTCACAACAACCCTATAAAGTAGTTACTGTTATTATTCACATTTTACACATGAGGAAATTGAAGCTCATGTAGTTTAAGTAGTTAGTCTAAGGTGACAACAACAGGGGTTGAGGGATTCAGAATCCAAACTGTGCCTTTAACCCAATTTTAGAATTAAATAAGTAACCTCCTATTGCTGGACACTTTTTCACTATTGTAGATAATGTTTTAGTAATTATCTTTGTGCATTTAACTTTTTTTTTCTTTTGAATTATTACCTTAGACTCGTTCCCCCTAAGTGAGACTAATGAATCAAAGCAACAAATGGCTTAGGAATGTGATTAGGCTGTCATCACATATACTGCCAAACTGATCTCTAAAAGATAAAGGTTAATCTATACTTCCCCCAGCTATGGAGTAATGTATCAATTTCTCTCAATTTAGCCAGTATTGACTTTTTTTGCTAGTTTAATTACTTTAACTCTTTAAAAATATTAGCATGTTAATTATGTTTCCAAGTAAGAAAATTAACTGTCCCTACTAACTCATTCAACAAATATTTATGAAGATGGTTACTATATGTCTTTGTCCATATATTGTTACAAGTAAATCTTTTATAATTTGTAGTACTTTTCATATTTTACCAAGTTGCCAGTTCTATTAATTGTTAAATGTATTGTTTTGGATTATCTATACAAACAATCATACTATCTGTGGATAATAATATTTTTGTTTCTTCATTTCCAATCTTTATGCCCATCCTTTCTTTGTCTTGCCATATTGAACTAGGACCTCCTCTAGTGTTGAACAGAATTGGTGATAGTTGACATCCTTAATTTGTTGTGGCTTCTCAAAGAGCAAACTTTCAACATTTCACCGTTGAGTATGATGTTGCTATAGGTTTCCTTATATTTCTAGTTGCTAAGAGTTTTTCTAAATCAAAATTAGTTTTTCCTCAAATACTATTTATGCATCTATCAACAAGATCATTTTTTTCTCCTCTTTCCTGTTAATGCAGTGAATTACATTGATTGTTTATAGATGTTAAACCACCCTTGCATTTCTAGAGTATGCCCCACTTAAGATTATTATGCATTTTTATATATTGGAGGATTTTATTTGCTAATATTTTAAGATTTTTGCATCTATGTTCACGAGAGAGATTGACCTATAACTTTTCTTTCTTGTATTTGTGAGGTTTTGGTAGCAAGGTAATACTAAAAAAGTTATTAAAAAGTTAGAAAGTGGTCCCTCTTTTTTTATATTCTCTGAAAGAATTAATGTAAAATTAGTGTTACTTCTCCTCAGGTTTGAGTTACCATTTTTTGTTTAGATTCTTTTGATGAAAGCTTAAGTAATTGATTTTTTTTGTTTCTCTTTTCTCATATATCTACTTAAGCATGATTCTGAGCACTGCTTTAGCTGTATCCTGCAATTTGATTAACTTACACCTTTACTGACATTCATTTAAATATTTCCTGCTTCTTATTTGATTTATTCTCTGACACATAGATTATTTAGAAGTGTAGTGTTTCATTTTCAAGCAGTTTGGCATTTTCTCATTATTTTTTTTAACTATGTTAATTTTGTACTGCTGCTTTAACAAATTACCACACACTCGTGGCTTAGAACGACATATATTTGTTACTTTTTCAGATGTCAGAAGTTCAAAATGAATCTCAAAATGAATCTCAACATGAATCAGAGGGTTAGCAGGGCTACATTTCTTTTGGAGACCATAGGGGAGAATCCATTTCCTTGAATTTTCCAGCTCCCAGAGGCTGTCTACATTCCTTGACTCGTGGGTCTTTCCCTCACTGTATCACTCTGACACTCACCCTCTTTACTCCCTTTTTCCCTTATAAGGTCCCTTGTGATTATATCAGGTCTACCCAGATATTCAAGAATAATCTCTCAACCTCAAGCTCAGCTGATTTGCAACCTTAATTCCACCTACAACCTTAATTCTCCCTTTTCATATAATAATATATTCACAAGTACTAGGGATTGAGATGTGGATGTCTTTGCAGGGCAGTACATTATTATTTTTGAGACTTTCGTTATGGTCAAACATATTATTGATTTTGGCAAGTGTTCTTTGTATACTTGAAAAGAGCACTAATTCTACCCTTGTTGAATTCAGTTTATATATATATAAAACTTAGGGCCAATTTTTAAATTGTGCTGTTTAGGTCTTATATTTACTGCTCTTTTGTCTGTTCTATCAATTGTTATAAAAGGTAGGTTAAAATTTCCCATTATGATTATGGTTTTGACTATCTCCCCCTTTTAATTTTGTCAATTTTTCCCCTATATATTTAGAAGCTGTGTTATTAGATGAGTATAGATTTAGTATTGTGATGTCTTCTTCTTTGACTCCCACTGTGAAATATCCCTAGGAATATCTTCATCTTTCATGATATTAAAATTTTTCAAGAATACAGGCCATTTATTTTACAGAATTTGACTCAATTTGGGTTTGTCTAATGCTTCCTCATAATTAGATTACAGTTGTACATTTTTAGTTGTATTACACATATAACATTCCTTCTCAGGGTATCACCTCTGGAGACATATGATGCTCCTTCATGTAGTTTTTATTGTGACCATTTGGTTAAGATGATATCTATTTTCTCCACTGTATACTTAATATTTTCCCTTTTTGTAATTAAACAATTTGGGGGAAAGAATTGTTTTTATTTTTGAGTTAGCATCATATGTGTAAAAATACTTATTCCAGATGTATTTTACTTTTGTCCATGCTTGAAGGGAAGAACAGCTTTGCACTGGTCCTGTAACAATGGATACCTTGATGCCATTAAATTACTGCTAGACTTTGCTGCTTTTCCTAATCAGATGGAAAACAATGAAGAGAGGTAAGCTGTTGATTAAATCTTACATCCTTTCTGCCAGATTTTTAAAATCTCAAGTTTAGATATTGATTCAGAAATAAGAATACTCATAAGAAGACACTATGCTAAAAAACACTACACCAAACTGGGCTCGGTGGCTCAGCCTGTAATCCCGCGCTTTGGGAGGCTGAGGTGAGTGGATTGCCTGAGCCCGCGGGTTCGAGACCCGCCTGGGCAGTGAGACCTCATCTCTACAATAAATTAAAAAATCAGCTGGGCGTGGTAGCGCATGCCTGTAATTTCGGCTACTTGGAAGGCTGAGGCGGAAGGATCACTGGAGCCCAGCAGGTCGAGGCTGAGGTGGCCGGGAGTGGCCACTGCACTCCAGTCTGGGTGACAGAGTGAGACTCCAACTCAAAGAAAAAAAACAAAACACTGCACCAGAAGAAAAGAGCAAAAGTTACACAAAATGTTGATTTAAAATTTTACTTAAAGCAAGCTCCCATTTTACAGATGAGACCACTTTGGGCCATCTTCTAGTTGTGGCTAGTGTAAGGTCAATAAAGTCCTGATTGATGAGGACCCAGAATTCAGTTAGGCTAATGGGATGTGTTATATATTCCAGAGGCTTCTCTTGATGGAGAGGATATTACCAGTTAGTGGGCAAAGAAATGCCACCCATATATCATGAAAAGGAAAAGTTAAGATGAAAGTTCAGGGTTTAATCTAAGTAAGATTTCTTGAATAATACAAGAGCCACAGAATTATGCTGGGGTAGTTTCCCAAGGACTCAGGCCCAATAATAAGGACCAGACAGAATGTGAAGTCTGAGGAGGAGAGATCTTTGGTGATCTTGGATCTAGTAATATTTAGGTAATAACTGAGTTTGTGATCAGACTTCCATACCTGAGTTCCTGTTGGTCCAGGTCTGTGTGTTAGTTTTCATTGTTCATGGATGCTCTAACTAAAATAGTCTCTGATATGACACCAGCCCCAATCACTTAGCCACCATCCATTGTTTCCTTCTTTCAGTGGGTGGAAAACTTTATAGAGAAAGGAGAGACATCTCTAGGCCTGCAATTTCAGAGGAAACACATTCCTCCTCACCTTCAGTAATGTCATTAGTGAAAGAGCTGAAGATGTCTCCATTTGAAACTCTTTAAAATAAAAAAAAAGGAAGGGAAAGATTAAGAATCCTAACAATGTGTGATGATAACTTACTATAAAGAACATATTCTATGTAAGAGTATTTACTTTCTGATTGCTTTTTTTTTTTTTTTTTTTTGAGGAAGCAAGAAAAAAAACATTTTCCTTAATTCAATTCCCACCTGTATGTGAGGGTCTTAGATTTTAGACCTAAGTTACTGCATGAATTAAGGTGTTTACTGCCTCCTGGAATAAACATATGTTAATTCCAGACCAAAAGACTGAAGGAAAAATCCTCCTAACTGTACTTTCCAATCTGTAGATAAAAAGAGACACTGGCAATATTTCAGTCTCTGTTAATGTTTCATCAGCAATGCACCTTGATGTACAAATGTCAGAACTTGGCAAAGCCTCTTATGTTTATTGACATCCCAGTTTAGGCATTCTACTCATTCAGTCAGACCATTCCTACATGGCAAATCCAATTGTATCTTACCTCTTGTCTTTATCTACATTGTTTCTAGGCTGGTTACCATCAATGTAGTGCTAATTTTTATTTCTCATGGACTGACACCAACCAGTTGATGTACACTGTATAGACATAATTTTTGCCACCCTCTGATGGCTTTCAGTCAATAACTATCTGACGGGCTCATTCTAACATTGACAGGAATATTCACAGTACTTGAATGTTTTTAAATTGAATTTGGGATGAAGAAAGATTCAGTAGTAATATTTATAATGTAGTCAGCTGCTTAAATAATAGGTATAGACTTCAATCATAAAACCTTGTCAAATATTTGTATTGTGTCTCTTTGAATCAAAAATTGACTGAGAATCTTACTTAAAGAGACCAACTATAAAAAAAATTGTGAAAATTTGATTATGAAATAGGCATTAGATTTTACTAAGGAATTCATGTTAATTTTGTCAGTATAATAGTGGCATGGGCTATGCCCATATTATTTATAGATAAATACTGCATAGAGATGAAATTATAAGAGTTCCAAGATTTGCTATAAAATACTTTAGCAAAAAAGAAAGAAAAGGGATTAGATGAAGCAAATATAGCAAAAAAATAGTTTAATTTGGGTGATGAGTGTATTGGACTATCATGCTATTCTCTGCTCTTTTTCTTTTTTTAAATTTTTTTCCAGTGGATACTGGGATCTACGATATCTCTGCTTTTTTAATGCTTGAAACTTCTCATAAAAATACAGCTTTTAATAATAAAAATATTAGCCGGGCTCGGTGGCTCAGCCTGTAATCCCGCGCCTTTGGGAGGCTGAGGTGAGTGGATTGCCTGAGCCCGCGGGTTCGAGACCCGCCTGGGCAGCGAGACCTCACCTCTACAATAAATCAAAAAGTCAGCTGGGCGTGGTAGCACGCGCCTGTAATTCCAGCTACTCGGAAGGCTGAGGCAGAAGGATCGCCGGAGCCCAGCATGCGAGGCTGCGGTGGCCAGGAGCAGCCACTGCACTCCAGTCTGGCGACAGAGTGAGACTCCAACTGAAAAAAAAAAAAAAAAAATTTAAGATGCAATTTTCAGTCCAGAAGTGGCCTGAGAGATCTAGTTCTTCTTCCCTTCTTCCTTTCCCCATTACAGATGAAGAAACAGAAACTCAGAGAAGTTAAGAGAATGCTCAGGTCCCATGATTCCCAACCTTAGGGTATAATATGTTACATGTTGTTTTCTTTTCTCATATTTGTAAGTAAAGGCATAGTTTTGGCCTTCTATTTTATATATTAGATTTTGATAATCCTGTTTATATACTGTGTGAAAGGATACTATATATTAATAATTATTGAAAAAAGTATCAAGCTTACTAGAAACAGTTTCATTCTATGGGAAACATTCAGTAATTGATACAGTGTGGAAGGATTACTGAACTAGGAAATGTGTGATCTTAGTTCTAGTCTGCATTCTATAGAAACTAGTTGCATGACCTTTGGCAAGTTGCTTAACTTTTCTGGGTCTGTTTATTCACTTCTAAAATGAAGATATTGTCTGGGTATGGTGGCTCACACCTGTAATCCCAGCACTTGGAAGGCCAAAGTGGGCAGATTGCTTGAGCTCACGAGTTCAAGACCAGTCTGGGCAATATAGTAAAGCCTTATCTCTACAAAACAAAACAAAATTAACTGGGCATGGTGAGGGGGCCTGTAGTCCCAGCTGCTTGGGATACTGAAGTGGAAGGATCACCTGAGCCCAGAAGGCTGAAGCTGCCGTGAGCTGTGATTGTCGTGATCTTGTCGCTGCACTCCAGCCTGGGCGATGGAGTCCCCAACTCAAAAAATAAAAAATAAAAATAAAACAGGATAAAGATATTGAATTAAATTACCTCTAAAACTTAATTTAATTCTACTATTGTGTGGTTCAATTATGCCATAATTTTTTTCCATTAGAGAAAGTACTGTTATTAAAGCCATTTTAGAATATATAGTAATTTTTTAAAATTTTTCTGAATTTACAAAATGCTATCTACTTATAGATATTGCTTTCAAGTTTATGTAGGCACCTCTACTTATGACCTTCCTTCTGGTTCCTGAACAGTAGTGGCAAATGGAGGTGTCCTAAAACGGGAGTTCCTTTATTTCAGCATTTGGGGCTTCCTCCCAAACTGTTTCCTTACTAAAGTGATCGAGCCACCCTTATATTAAAAACCTCTTCATAGGCTGAGGTGGAAGGATCACCTAAGTCCAGCAGGTTGAGACTGCCGTGGCCGTGAGCATGCCACTGCACTCCAGCCTGGGCGATAAGAGTGAGACTACAACTCAAAAAGAAAGCCTCTTCCTATGTCTTACTGTAACTATTAGGTGAGTTTTGAAGAGAGATCATTTCTTTTCTAGCAATTACAACTGATATTTCTTAACTGTTTTCCTTAGGCTGGGCACATTGCTATCCTCTTTATATCTAGTAATCCATTTTCTCCTCATGCTAAGTGTGTGAAGTATTATCTTGTTTAACAAATTAGAAAAACTTGGGCTTAGAAGCATCAAGTAAGTTGTTTAAAAAGTGACAGTCATCATTACCATTGTTGAATAGAAGAATTTGGGGCTTTTTTTTTTAACTTCAGTTTTTGTACTTTTTTGTACTGCATTTGAATGCTTAAAACCTGTATCATTTTGACAAAGTAATACTTTTTGTTGTTGTTGTTTTTTGTTTTTGAGTTGGTGTCTCACTCTGACACCAGGATGTAGTGCTGTGGCTTGATCATGGCTCACAACAGCATCAACCTCCTGGGCTCAGACGGTCCTACCACCTCAGCATCCTGCGTAGCTGGGACTACAGACGTGTGTCACCACGCTCAGCTAATTTTTTTTTATTTTTTATAGAGAAGAAGTTTCATTGTGTTGCCCAGGCTGGTCTCGAACTCCTGGGCATAAACCACCGTTCCCAGTCTAATTTTTTATTTAAAAAGGACATTATATCTGCCAAGATATTAACAGCAGTTAATTCTGAGGGTTGGGAATATGGATGATGGTTATTTTCTTCTGTGTATTTATCCAATTTTTTATGTTTCCAAAAAACATTTTTATAAAGGGATTTGTCTAAAATTGCACATCTAGGAAGTAGCCAATTTAGATTCAAATATATAACTATAACACCCATCCTTTCCAAATAATATACTCATCAAAAAGTTGATATACGTACACCGTACAAAATTTAAAAGGGCATTCAGTGAAACTTCAGCGTCCCTCCTGCCCCTCCCTGCCTCTGAGACAGCCAGTTACCTCTGTTACCAGTTTCTTGGGAAACTTCTGGAGAGACATTTTTGGTAGTTAAGCATTCAGGAATGTATCCTTTTTTATACAAATGGAACATGCCATAATAACCATTCCGTTTTTCCTTTCTTTTTTTTTTTTTTTTTCATTTAACAAGACATCCTGGAAATTGTTCCTTATTTATCCATATACAGCAGTAATGGCTGCATATTGACTTCATTGTGTGGATGGCTTGTGCTTTAACCAGTCCTCTGTTGGAAGTTGTATGGAAGTTGTTTCCATTCTTTTTGCACTTAAAGTTTTTCACAAATGAGAACAGATCTGTAGGATAAATACCTGTAAGTGAAGCAGCTATGTCAAAGGGTATATGTGTGAATCATGTAAATGTATATTGCCAAGTTGTCCTCCCTAGAGGTTAGTTGTGAGAGAGCCTGTCTCCCTCTGTCCTTGCTAGTGTAGCCTGTTACTCACCTGCCTAATCTCTGTTTATCTGAGAAGGGGTGAATTTTCCCATGTTTGTCTTAATTTGTATTTCTCTTACATGAGTGAGGCTGAACATATTTTTCTGTTTAGGAGCTATTAGTATTTACTGTTCTGGGAACTCACATCTTTATTTTTCATAGTTTTTTGCCCTGAAAAAATTTGTCATTTTTATGTAATCAGATTTATCAGTCTTCTTTTATGTTTTCTGAATTTTTATCATTTTCTTAGAAAGGACTTCCCACATCAGTATTTCTTTTTAATCTTCCTGATTTTTTCTAGTACTTTCATGTGTTTTATTTATATGTTTAGATTTAGATCCAGAATTTATTTTGGTGTAAAATGTGATATAAGAATCTCTCTTTTTTCACCCAGATGGCTACCTGGTTATCCCAACACTATTTATTTAATAATTCATCTTTTCCGCAATGATTTAAAGGGTCATATTTTTCATGTACTAAATCTCTCCATTTTGAGGTATATTTTTTAAGTTGTAAACATTAACTATCAACGATCATGGGCTCAGCCGGGCTCGGTGGCTCAGCCTGTAATCCCGCACCTTTGGGAGGCTGAGATGAGCAGATTGCCTGAGCCCGCAGGTTCGAGACCCGCCTGGGCAGTGAGACCTCATCTCTACAATAAATAAAAAAAATCAGCCGGGCGTGGTAGCGCATGCCTGTAATTCCGGCTACTCAGAAGGCTGAGGCGGAAGGATCGCCGGAACCCAGCAGGTTGAGGCTGCGGTGGCCGGGAGCGGCCACTGCACTCCAGTCTGGGCGACAGAGTGAGACTCCAACTCAAAAAAAAACCCCCCAAAGCAACAACAACGATGACAAGTAATAATAATAATGATAATCATGGGCTCAAACTTATGAATCTCACACGATTATTTTCAGTACCTTTTGAATAGGCCCAGGGAATTATTTGGCACATTAGGGAAGAAGGAAAGTGACCAAGTATTTCCAAAAGCCCCCAGTGTGTGTGCCAGCAAGTGAAACTCAGGAATAGACATGGTTAATAGGACAAAGCGCCCGACTCCCAGCTATATTCATCCTTGTCTTGTGCCACTCAGAGAAAAAAGGAACAGCCTGGGTATAGAGAAGGTGACTTTGGGGAATATTCCACATCTAAGAATGATTTCCGCCTGCTACAATAATATTGCCAGTTTAACTGTGCCTTGAATTATTTCTTCCTTCTTCAGATACACACCCCTTGATTATGCTTTGCTTGGGGAGCGCCATGAAGTGATCCAGTTCATGTTGGAGCATGGTGCCCTGTCCATTGCAGCCATACAGGACATTGCTGCCTTCAAAATCCAAGCTGTCTACAAAGGGTACAAAGTCAGAAAAGCCTTCCGAGACCGGAAAAATCTCCTTATGAAGCATGAACAGTTGAGAAAAGATGCTGCTGCCAAGTGAGTCTGAGCTATGGAGATGGTGTTCTCGTAACTCAGAATCAGAGTGGAAAGGGGCGGGATGATGGGCGTGGCCAGGAGAGGGAAGCAGGAGAGAATCTAAATTACTTTTGATTCCTGCACCCTGGTCACCTTCCCCCTTCTGCTCAGCACTCTGTCTTTTGGTAACTGAGGCTCCAACCTCTGCTTGCATGCTGTTCCTCTAGATTAGTCCCTGATGTTTCAGCCCAGAGACAAACCACTGCCACCCCCACCCATGGCAGGGAGTTGGTGGTGGGATTTCTACCACCAAAAAGGTAACTGCTCTTCTTGCTTTTCCTTTCAAAAGAAACTTATACCAATATCTAGCCTACTTTCACTAGACCAACTAAGTCTAGTTTTAATCTAATAAAAGCAATCAGCATATATAATAACTTGGTCTCCATCACCCAATTCTTAACAAACTGTACTAAATAATTTATTCAGTAAATATTGACTGCTTACTATACATACAAAATCTTTGGCTAGAGCCTAGGGAGAAAATGGTAACTAAAACAGCAAAATCTCCTCTTTAAGGAATTCATTTTTGGGGGGGGCAATTATACAAAATGTACAAAATAACCATTTATGCTTATTACACATTGTGATTATTTCACATAAATGATTGATTTTTTATTATACTTTGGTTTACCTTTTCTTTGACATCTGTGCTAGGTAGAAGTATTTTAAATAGCAGCAGTATATTATGTTAACAAATACAAAGCCTCTGATGATAAAGGTGTGGACAGGCAGATTCTTGAAGGGTAACTGCTGGCTTTTTTTGTGTGTGTGTGGAGTCAGAGTCTCACTCTGTCACCCAGGCTGGAGTACAGCAGCACACTCATGGCCACTGCAGCCTCAGTCTGCTGGGCTCGGGCGATCCTTCCACCTCAGCCTTCCAAGTAGCTGGAACTACAGGCGTGCGCTACCATACCCGGCTTATTTTTTTGATTTATTGTAGAGACAAGGTCTCACCAAGTTGCCCAGGTTGGTCTTGAACCCCTGGGCTCAGGCAGTCCTCTCGCCTTAGCCTCCCAAAGTGCTGTGATTACAGGCTTAAGCCACTGTGCCTGGCCAGCTGGCTGTATATTGAATGTTTCCAAATCTTGAGTCCTTCCAACTCTTAAATCCTTCCACATCTTGCCCACAAGGAGGAAGTATAAGTGTAATAAATAACCACTAAAAATAATAAAGAGGCAAAAGAAATCATTTTAATGAGAAGTTAAATACCACTACATAGTATGTACTGGAATGCTAATCATAATGTCAACCTTCAGTAGATAAGATTGACAGAAACATCATTTTCTGTGTCTCAGAAGCTGCTGAAGTAAACCTAAGAATTGTTATTTTGCACTCGTCTCTCATTGGTGCTCTCATCTCTTCGCTTGTGCCAAATAACCCAGTATTAGCCTAACGCCTCTGTACACCTCTTCATACAGCCATCTTACAAAAGTTCTCTGCATGTGAGTGACAACTGTAAGTAGGTAATGCATATGACACATTATCCTGAGTTGCAAGTCAAAGAATGTTCTCTGCAAGAGATGGAATGTTACATTCCCTTCTGCTGATGTTTCCATAAACTCCAATTTGATACGTGAGAATCTGTTTTCAGAATTTGGAGTCATATCTACCTAAATATGAGGTGGGACTCTACAAAGGCAACATAGCTGACTTTGTGTCCCCCCAGAAAGACACGTATTAATCCAAACACATTCCACTTTATTATTGGAGAGGGGGAATCCTGGAGTCCTCCTTTCCCCCCAGACTCCCTTTCCTGCAGAGTAGAAGGGTTGTGGTAGAGTAGAGAGAGAACTGAATTCAAACCCAGCCTCTGATATTTACTTGTAATGACTTAAACACAGTTTGTCTCTAGGCCTTAGGGTTTTCATCTGGGAAACAGGACAAATCAGAACAGTTGATTTCTAGGCATCTCTCTAGTTAATTTCTAGGCACCCTCCAGTTCTGTAGAAACCTCCAAGTCAGTTCTAGAAACCTCCAAGTCTTCATCATTTGTGATCTGCAGACTATCCTTCCTCTTTTTTGCCTAAGGTGCTACCCAGTCTTATATGCCTGGGACCAAGGATTTAGACAGGCATCCTGTGGAGTCAGTTTAGAGCTGGGAAGCAAGAATCTGTTATCTGTGAGAAGACAGAGGAAGGGGTTTAAAATGTTGACAATCTTAACAGCATAGTGATTTGCGTATTTTTTTTCCCCTAACATGGACTTTTGTAGCTCCTAATCTAAAGGGTTTGAAATAGCAAAGAGACTTAGGAAACATCTAATTCAACACCCCCCCCCTTTGAGTTGTTATCCTAATTAGTTTCACTGCTGTGGAAGATAGGTCCTCTTTGTTCTTAGCTCTTAGTTTCTGAAGTTAATTTTTTAAAATGTTCTTAAGTGCGAGCTGTACTTACTTGTGAACAAATTTTTTAATTGCCATAGTGGAGCCATTGTAGTCTCCACTCCTTTTTCTCAATTACAACCTTTCCTTCATTGGGTGTCATTATTAGAAGTAAACAACTTGCAGTTTAACCATCACCTACTGTCAGTGTACTCTGGAGCCCCAAGAGAAATATTTAAATGATAGAGAAACTGACCAGATTTATTTTCATTTTATTTCTCAAAAGTTATTTCTTAAAATCTAAGGCAGTGTTTAATTTTGCTTTCATTCTGCCCCCCCCCCCTTTTTTTTGCTTTAAAGAACAAAAATCAGAATGTTAAACTTGGTTCTTGCTGCTGCTGCATCATTCACTAATATGGTCCGGGCCCATCATGTTACCTCAACATACCTTTTCTAGTTTATCATGTTAGAAATCACTTTCCTTCAAGGGAGGATGTGAAATAAATGTATTAAACTTCAAGTGATTTCTAATTTATTGGTAGAGAAACTGGGAGAGAGAAAAGCTGTAGTCATATTTTCTAAGGCAGATATTTTAGAAACCTCTATTTATAATCTATAATCCATTTAAAAGCACTTTATAACTCACACTGCACTACCTATGTTTTTGCCAAAATGAACATTACTAAAATTTACCTGCCAAAGTACATAGCTGAATGTACACTAAAATAAGACCGTGTTTATGTTGATCACCCTTCTTCCCTGAAGCTTCCTTTATTGCCAGGTTCTTATTTCACGCCCTAATTTCAGCTCTCTGGTTCCTCCTTCTCACATCTTTTTAATTATATCATCTGCACACTGAGGTTAGCCCTGAAGGCTAACTCCTTAGATTTCTACTTATATATTTCATATCTTCTGAAGATACAAATACACTTTTTTCCATTGAAAATGTATCCACTCTGAAAATTTAAACTATTTCATCTCTGTAGATAACTTCATCCATCTCACATCCTGAACTCCGGGAATTCTAAGCCCATCTTCAGATGCCTGCTGGGCATTTTCACTTTGCTGTCCTTTAATCAGTTGCCAACTCTTTAGGCCATTGGGCATTTTTGTTTGCATATCTTGTTGTCACTATCACTTCAGACTCACTGTGTGAAACCTACAACTCATCACCACAATCTCTCTTCTGGCCTCTGTTTTCTTGCTAGTGCTGCCACCACTGATTGTTTTGAAAAATTCTTCCGTTGAAATGTCCTGCTTTCATTCTTCTGTGGCACCACGCCACACAGGCTGTCACTCTCCAATACCAGCCATGATGGAAGACCCTTCAACATTTTACTTCCACTTAAATTTCCAAGTCTCACTTCTCTCCACTGCCACTACCCTTCCACCCCCTCACAACTGATGTCCCAGACATCCTGAACTTTCTTTACTTACCATGTTCTCTGGGAGACCTGGGGTTCTTTTTGGCTAGTGATTGAATATTTCTTAGAGTTACATAATCAAGTACAGTTGTAGTCACCCAGTTCAAACTCTTTTTTTTTGAGTTGGAGTCTCTCACTCTGTCACCCAGACTGGAGTGCAGTGGCCGCTCCCGGGCACCGCAGCCTCAACCTGCTGGGCTCCGGCGATCCTTCCGCCTCAGCCTTCCAAGTAGCTGGAACTACAGGGGCGCGCTACCACGCCCGGCTTCTTTTTTTTTATTTATTTATTGTGGAGATGAGGTCTCGCCAAGTTGCCCAGGCAGGTCTCGAACCCACGGGCTCAGGCAATCCACTCACCTCAGCCTCCCAAAGGCACGGGATTACAGGCTGAGCCACCGAGCCCGGCTGTTCAAACTCTGGTGATGCTTGCATCCCTTCTAAAAGAGGTTGTTCTGTGTCCTCAAAAAGTCAAGTGACAAGGAATTCTGTGCCTCTCAAGATAGCACATTCTATTAGTGGAGGGTTCTGTCTGGCAAAAGTTATTTCTGGCCGGGCTCGGTGGCTCAGCCTGTAATCCCGTGCTTTGGGAGGCCAAGGTGAGTGAATTGTCTGAGCCCGCGGGTTCAAGACCCGCCTGGGCAACTTGGCAAAACCTCATCTCTACAATAAATAAATAAATTAGCCAGGCGTGATAGCGCGCACCTGTAGTTCCAGCTACTTGGAAGGCTGAGGCGGAAGGATCGCCGGAGCCCAGCAGGTCGAGGCTGCGGTGGCCGGGAGCGGCCACTGCACTCGTCTGGATGACAGAGTGAGACTCCAACTCAAAAAGTTATTTCCTACCCTTTGGTCTTGAAGCCAAAAAAAAAAAATCTAAATCCTTTTTCACAAACCAACTTTCAGATATTTAAAAAAAGTGTTCAATGCACTCCCACTCCTACCACAGGTCTCCTTTCCCTTTGTAATTGATCCTGCTGCAGCCTGTTCCTTGAACACCACCAGGGAACAATCTTCAGGGTTTACCTGTGTGTCTGACTCCTCACAAAGTCATCTGACCCATGAGGAATTACTTCCATCATTCTGCTTCATGCCCTTCCACTTCACTGGGTATCAATTTTTGATCAGGAAAATGAAAAGGTTTCTTAATGCAGGGTGGGCTTTGGGGCTCCATGAATACCTTGAGACTGTATGCAGCATTTTATGTGTGAGGAGATATATGC